TGTGTGTGTGTGTGTGTGTGTGTGTGTGTGTGTGTGTGTGTGTGTGTGCATATACATGTGTCCATTCTGTCTCCTCCATCTCCTTGGCGACGTCCATATCAAGAGGGCGTCTGACTCTCAAACGCTGATAGGCGTTGGAATAGGAAGGAAACAGGTGATTGGTTGAGCCGTCGGCTGTCATATCAGCAGGGTGTATCTTTGTGACACTGCGAGGCACACATGTGCTTAGCTCCACACACACACACAGACACACACACACACACACACACACACACACACACACACACACACACACACACACTGATTCGTCTACGCTGTCAACCCACACGCCCACGACCTGCAGCAAAGGTGCAAACAAAAGGTGCTTTCACCCACGTGCACGGACGTGCTCGCGCGCACACACTCGGCCAGGAGGCGCGGCGTGTTAGGTGCGCTGACCCCGCCAATGAGGACAGGAGGAACATCGACGGAGCTACAAGGCCGTTGCTATGACAACTAGCCCCGCTGCACAGGTAGGAAGCACAATAGGCCTAAGCTGTTCTATGTTCACATTCACTCAGTTTGTCACACACACACACACACACACACACACACTAACACACTCAAGACAAGTCTGACAGACAGCAGTTGAATGGCAAGGTAAGGCCAGTTCCTTTTCATTCCCGCGTTCACAGCGTTGAAATTAGTCATTACATCCAGAAAAGAGAACTCAGGCTTGAAGCAGCGACTGTGTGTGTGTTAGAGAGGGAGTCAGACACACACACACACTGAGAGCATCACTCTGCATACTAACAGCACCTGCACTAGGGCAGCGTGTGCACGTCTCCGAGGGGCCCTTAAATAACCAACTGTCACTGCACAGACACTGACATTGACTTCTCCCATCCCTCTCTTTCACTTTCCTCTGCTGCACCCTCTCCTTCCTCTTCTTTCAGCCCCCCCTTTAACTAAAACCACAGATAAGAGCTGATAATCCTCAGCTCGCCTTGTCTCCAACACACTGCAGGATGTTGCTGCTGCTGTGTCCTGCCTAACTCTGGGTGGGAGGTGGGGGGGGGGGGTTGCTGAGGTAAAAGAAACTGTCTGCTCCTCATAATTAAGGGTTTACATTTCATTTATGTGTCACTATTTAAAAAAAAATGAACAAAAGTAAGTTTAAGCTCACCTACAGGCAACAAATCTTAAAAGGAAAAGAGGTGTTTGTGTGTGCCAGGTGTGTACCTGTTCACCCTGTTGTCCTGTGGGCTTTGTTCAGTGATAATGAGGCTAATAGGTGAGGTTGTTAAGAAAAAACAGGTGGGGGTACACAAGGTTCAACCACACTGCGCCTGTGTGTGTGTGTGTGTGTGTGTGTGTGTGTGTGTGTGTTTGGAGCATCATTATGTACTGTATGTAACCACACACGCT